ACATTCTCTTGACTGCACCCTATTTGGGGTCAGGAACACACTAGCCTGATTTGGGTACCCTGTTCTGGCCAGACTTGCTTCGAGCGTGAAATACAAAACTAAACTCAAAAGATTTCTACTTACATGGTCTAGCTTAGAAACTGTTTCTAAGGGTCGATCCAGGTGATTCTCCCGGTCCTTTAAAAAGGGTCTGTAGGAAGTCAAACAATATATCAGGTTATTTAACAGCTGTTGCAGAAAAGGTTAAACATCTAAAACACCATTGGTTTTCTCAGTGACAGGAACTTATGAGTAGGTTTTAGAAATCAAAAAGCTGTCAAGGAAGTACCACGTAATATTAATTCTTTTTCTTTTGCATGGCAACAGAAAAGCAACACAAAACATTGACATCCAAGATTGTCACAAAACTTACATCTTCCACTGACAGCAAAAGTAACCAAAATCATTCCTGCAGGCAGGGGGGGCTGGCAGGCAGGAGACGGCAATAGGTTTGGAGGCTGCTGCCTCTGGCTGTTGTCCGGACTTGCCCTGTATACGGCAGACAGCTGAGGTGCATCGGAGTCAGCTGCTGCTGTGCTGCAGGTCACAGCAATGTCTCAGAGCGCATCAGCCGGGGTTCACTCTGCCACGGCGAGCCGCAGCACTGCAGTAGCTGATTCACCAGTGCCTCAGCTGCCCAGGCAGCAAAGCGGGAGGTGGGGCAGCAGCCCTGGCTGTCAGGTCCCATCCTCTCCTTCTCCTCCTCCCTGAATCAGAGCCCTCTGACAGCAACCAGCTGCAGGGTTCTCCCACCCCTCTGCTCTGGAGCTAGCAGCTCAGCTATTAGGGAAGATTAATGCCCGTGCAGATATTTTTCTGTAATGAAATTCCAGAGAGTTAGGATATTGTCCTCTATTCTACGCAAGTGGTGTACTATGCCATAAAGAAAGATCATGAATCTTCTCCCCTCATTTCTGTTATACTAGTGGTGTTTTCCAGAGCCTGGCACCAGGGACTGGTTGGCTTTCTCTCGTCTCTGATCCTGCTTCCCTTTATCTCCTCACCATGGAGAAATTTTATGGCTTCCTTTGCAATACAACATCACGAGAAATACTCACTGCAGTGGGGAGTCTTTCGAGTGTTCAGGTTTGCCAAGCACATCAGCAGTTTCAGTTAAAAGCTTTGCAGAAAGGTGCCTTGCTACCTGCAGCCTGCAAGCCGCTGCTGCACTCACAGCAGTGTATCTGCATGCAGCCCCACTCGAGAGGAACTAAGCAAGGCAGCAAAGGGATCCCAGAGCCAGGTAACTCATTTGGTAGGTGGTTGTATCTATATCCTTTTAAATGCACTGAAAATGCCCCTTTCTAATATTAAGCTATCCCAGAAGGCCACTGAAAGTTGCCATTAAAAAGCAGTGGTGAGACTTGAACCAGCCTTTCTTCAAGATCCAGTTAGGAGGCTGAGTTATTAGCAAAATGGGCCTGTTCTGACAGACTGAAGAGCTGAGATAAGAAAGTTTCACGGAGACTCAGAAAATACCCAGAAGAGACAATATCAACCAGCAGGAAATGTCAACACTGAAACCATCCCTTTGCTCCTGCTGCCAGTAACTCTACAGAGCGCTGCCAGGGTGCTGCAGGGGCAGAGCCATCCCTGGTCACTGCCTTGACAGCAAGGCGTTGGGATGAGGCAATTCTCTGTATGCCCATGAATTGCTGCAGAGAGAAGGCAGACACTGGCAAGCCGGGAAGAGTCAGCTATACCTCAGAGAATCACCAAGTAATTTGAGTCGGAAGGGACCTTTACAGATCATCTAGTCCAACCCCCAGCATTCTCCTGACTTACTTTGCACTTGGGCATTTCAGATTTTCTTTGGCTGCTTGGTACTCTGGGAGCTGTCTTCTCCACTCTTCTGCAAAGAGATGGTAGGAAAATGCAGTGCACACACCACAACCTCAGTATTTGGAGTGCCAATAAGGATGGATTTCTTTTATATTCACAGCGCTACCGTACAGGTCTCCCAAGTTCCCTGGCCAAGCCTGGCAATGCTGTTCCCAGAAATTTCCAGAGCATTTCCATGCATGTGATATTGCCCACAGACTCATTGGCACATAAAGACCAGAGGTCTCCGATGCTTGCGGTGTGATGCCGCTCAAAACCTTGGTGTGGGGCTTAGTCAATTCGCAGAAGGAAAGGGGAGATGCTGCCAATGATCCTGCTTCAGCTACATATCCTGTAAGCCTGTCCCCTGCTGTGGCCAAGCCCTCTTGCAGGCAGGTGGGAAAAGTGAGGATCGCCTCAACAGGGGGAGCAGGGGATAGATACCTCTGACATCCCCAGTTTGGCTGCGGTACTGGGGCATCTCATGGCAGGACAGCCTGGCCTGGCTGGAGTCCAGCATCGCCCCATCTCCAGGGCCTCGCCCCTGTCCCTAAAGCTGTCCCACCCTCATCCGATAGCCCACGCGCACAGGGCTCTGATGGCATCTCAGCCCCCACCCCCTTCCAGCCCTCTGCCCCCCCAAGACACCCTCTTCCCTTGACACTGCACCCCAGGGCTTCCACAGAGCCCCAAGAGCAGCGTGGCACCCCTGGGTGTCCCCAGTCTCCCCAGCACTCCAAGGCACACCCCAAGCCCCCCCACGCTGCCTGCCCTCCCAAACTGTGTCAGCGCACCCATTTC